ATATTTTGCTGAGTGTGTTATTGTGCTGATATCTTAAGGACTACCGTGGACAGCTGACTCCTAAGGTTTTTGATATTCTTCATATTCTGTGTTGTCAGTTCACAGCAGTGATAGAAATTAATCTTTTCCAGTAAGTTTAAATTGATTTTTAACTTGTATGGGCATTCTTACCCTTATAAAGCCATTTTTCTTCTAATAGTGTACATCATCTTCTGAGTCAAATTCTTAAATGTAATCAGTCAATTATAATAATACTACATTTAGGCTGTTACTAAACAAATTAAATCAGTATCAATAAACTTAATCTTTGCAGAAGTTGCATGTGAAGTGGCATTTAGATGTATTTACACATGTTAATGCAGCTTAGAGGGACATGGGATGCTTTAAACTGCAGTTACAAATGCATAAATAATGTTTTGATATTTAAATGAAACATGAAATGTTGAATACTGATATTTGAAATTATAAAAAAAATGAAAAGATACTTTAAATTTGAAATTAAAACCGCCAGTAGGTGGCAGCAAGTCACTATTAAGTGAATCATTGCGATTGAACCGAATCATTTAAACGGTTGATTCATTCAGAAGTCATGTTGGCTGTATTTGGAATGTTTTCTTGTTGGCGAAATAGCACAGAAATAGCGCAAATGCAGTGAAAGAGCGCACTATAAAAGCGCACGCGCACTAAAGCCTGTGTTGGTCTAACCAGACTTCATCAGGCCGCGTATGCATGCACTCTGTAGGTGTGTTTTGTTTGGTTTTTGCAATATACTCGATAATGTCATGATGTCTCACGAGTTCAGTATTTGCGCTAAACCTGCGCAGATTTGGCCTGCATGAACTTCCCCAAGAAATTAATGAGTGAACATAATTTACGAAAAGTTATCCGCCAAACTGGCTAGTGATTTGACAGCGTTACCCCGTTTGTTAATTTCAAACCCTGGTCACCATACTTACAAAAATGACAGTCAACTCAAAACTGTGTCATTCATTGATACTTAATTATAATCCGACAATTAAAACAACAATAATGCGCTTACCTTCGTGTCGCTCTATAATTTTACACAGACTAAACTAATCAAGTCTAGCAGTTTTCAAGGATTTATCAATCTGGACGTTTAAAAACATAAAAGACATGATCGTATAAACCGACATATTTAGTTTCGGTTATGATTAATCCAAATGTGCTCTGGTTTCGGAGTTGCAGTGATGGAGCCTTGGTGTCATCTCACTCCACAATAATTCACGTTTTGAGAGTTGAGTCGCTCTCCCACTCTTTAACTTATATTTAGGCATTGTGATTACTTGAATATACAGTCATACTACATTCAAAATCAGATACGTTATAACTTATGACGCTAAAAACTTTTGTCACTCATGAATCATAACCTCTGTCTGCTGAGCCCTCGTGATAAGTGCGGCTGTCGACGTTTACATCAGCACCTCTGCAGTGTGTGTGTGTGTGTGTGTGTGTGTATACTAACGTTATAATGACTGATTGGATGCAGTATACATACTTGGGCTTGTTTTGTTAAACAATTAGCCAATGCAATTTATGTTTGAAAACCGCCAAATTAACCCCAAACCAGCCCAACTTTTGTCCACCCGCCCAAGCCAATTTTTACTCGCACAATCAAATTCAAAACCAATCTGGCAACACTGCACGCGTGTTTGATATGGGGGTAGAATTGTTGCTTAATTCCAAATAAATAGATTATGATCCACAAATAAATAGAATGAGATCCACAAATAAATCTTAAAGTTTCACAAACATGAATTCAATTCACAATGTGTATCATGCCGAGCCACAGTATTTTATGTTACGTGCCAAATGCATGCAGCTATCTACAAATGCACAGGACGCGATTCACAAATAAATGCCAGGCAAAGTTGTGGTTGTGACATAAATATATATTTGTGAATATGTTTTTTATTTGCAAATCTCATTTGATTTATTTGTGAATTTAATTCATGTTTGTGAAACTTTAAGATTTATTTGTGGATCTCATTCTATTTATTTGTGGATAATAATCTATTTATTTGGAATTAAGCAACAATTCTACCCCCATAGTTTGAGGACCACGGAAGTAGCTGACTTCTTCACCAAAGAGAAAACACATCGAGACGATTCACCTGCCGGCGAGCTTTGTCAGATAGTGATCGTGAAATAAATTCAAGGTGTGATCGCGAATAGAAAAATGCAGTTGAATAGAACATTAAACATACGTTGTTCAGGCTCCAAACTTCAGGTTACACTCATACGAGGAGGCAGCAGTGACAGCGCGTTTTATATTCAGAGCCAGATGTAACTTTGAAACATTCACTAAACACTTCACGGCATATCAAAACTATGTTGTTGTTGATGATGATGTTATTACATGTGTATTTAGATGATTCAATTTTAATAATCAGTGTAACAGTTTTACCTCTAGATGGTGTTATAAACTAAGCGGTGTTATAAACTGAGCATTACAAAACTCAAGTAATTTAAAACTCAAGCAAGTTTTATTGCATTTCATTTGGAGGTCATTTAAATACAAAGCTTCATCTGGTATGTGCTGTGGCACGCCATATATCTGGAAAAAAAAATGCGCATCTGTTTATCATTAAAAAAAAAGACATGACAGAAGGTTGCGGGTTCGAGTCTCAGGTCCGGCAGGAATTGTCGGTGGGGGGAGTGAATAGGCAGCGCTCTCTTCCACCTTCAATACCACGACTGAGGTGAGACCCTTGAGCAAGGCACCGAAACCCCAACTGCTCCCGGGGCCCCGCAACATTGGCTGCCCACTGCTCCAGGTGTGTGTGTGTGTGTGTGTGTGTGTACTGGTTTATATATCCTGGTGGGGACTTAAACCTGACTACACACAGACTCATGGGGACTAGTGTCACGGTGGGGACCTAAATTGTGGTCCCTACAGGTACAAAAGCTTATAAATCGTACAGAATAATTTTTTTTGAAAATCTAAAAATGCAGAAAGTTTCCTGTGAGGGGTAGGGTTGGTGTAGGGCAATAGAATATACGGTCTGTACAGTAGAAAAACCATTACGCTTATGGAGAGTCCCCACAAGGATAGCAAACCAGACTGAGTGTGTGTGTGTGTGTGTGTGTGTGTGTGTGTGTTTCACTGCTGTGTGTGTGCACTTGGAAACATTATAGAATTTTACCAAAGACAAGTGCAAACGTGTAGATCGTAGCATTTTGGTAAACTAGCAGTCTGATTGTGACAACGAAACCTACTATGGCGAAGACTTGCTCATGACTATTAAACAGATCACGTGATGTGTTTTTTTTTACGTTTAATAGTTGTTTGATTTATTGATTTTTTTTTTTTTACTACATAAAGCAAATATACAAACAGGTCAACAATAATGGCTATTGCAATTATTGTATATATTACTATATACACAACAAAATAAATAAAAGCATGCATTCATACAAGAATGAAACATACTGAAACATTATTTTCCCGTAGTATATAAATGATTTCTGAAATAAAAAAATGACATATTCTCTTATTTGTTATTACTATAATAACATATGTTAGACGTTAGATTAAAGGACTAGGTCACTGAAGGCTTTAAAAAAAATAAGAGCACAAATCAGATAAGAATTATACAGAGGTATTAATACGAAGCAGTGGCACTACCTAATGTCAGTATAATTTTATAAATATTCATGAGCTAAGCTTGGGCCATAGGACCAGAGCCACCGAACGACTCGAATTTGCCTCTTTGCACTGTCATTTAAAAACATTTTCTGTATTTTAACCCTATATACTACGCTAATTGTAATATAAATAATAAGCATATTATAATTTTTTTTATGCTGTCTCATCACTCCCCAGAATAAAATGCGATTGTAAAACTTAGTCGGCGTAGTTATCAATACACAATCAATGCACATGATGTGTTAATAATCACTAGAAATTGCTGTAAATATAGTGAAATATAGTTTTCTATCCTACTTAAACCCATTCAAACATATTGACAGCGCGGAGTTGAACCACGTGATCGCGTGGCGGCGAGATCAAAGCGTGTCGCAACTCTGTTTCTCAACTGCTCTGTC